CTCTTTCCTATTTGGGGAGGAAGGAAGAGGAGAAATAGCACCTCCTCGCCCTTTATGCATCCCCAGCTGCATTTCCTTTTGTTACTTCTTCCTCTTCATTCTTTGGCAACCACTGTGCCATGCTGCTTTTACTGGCTGTTTCTTAGCCATTAGAGGGCATTTTATTCTCTGGGGCCACTTTTCAGCGGAAAGCAGCGTTTTCCAAACCAAGAAATTATGATTAAAAGGACTGTATCTAACAGGAATATACATATATATATATATAATATATATAAAAATATATAAATAAAAACAACGTGTTGTAGGTGCAGAGACAGAAATCTCCTTGGTCGCCCTGTGGGATGACCTGTGCTGAGAAAAAGACAGAGAGAATGAAACCTTGTTGGGCCTCCTGGATCTCTTAGTGGCTTTTGATAGTCGACCATGGTGTTCTTCTGGACAAGCTGTCAGAATTGGGATGGCTCCACTTCTGCTTGGCTGTTTCCATGCTGGTGGGTTATTCTTCTGCCTCAAGGCAGTTGAGTTATAGAGTTCTTAGGGCTCCATTTTATCCTTTATGCTGTTTAACATCAACATACAACTGACAGGAAAGGTCATCTGGGGATGTGGGCTGAGGTGCCGTCAATATGCGGATGACATCCAGCTCCTTTTCATCTAACACAAATGAGACTGTTGGTGTTCTGAAATAATGCTTAGGCAGAGTAATGGACCAGGTGAGGGCCACTAAGCTGAGCCTTAATCCAGACATGATGGGTTTACTGTCCAGCTGGGTGGTACCTGTACTTGTCCTAAAGGACCAGGCTTACAGCTGGAGGGTGCTCCTGGTTCCATTGCTGTCACTAGAGGCTCAGATGGCCTCAGTGGCACAGAGTGCCTTCTATCAGCTTCAGCTGATATACCTACTATGACCTTACCTAATCAGAAGCAGCGTTTCAGCAGTCATGCTCTGTTAATTTCCTGGTTGGATTATTGCAATGCATTGTACATGGGGCTGCCTTTGGAAAAAAAAAATCTGGGAACTTCAATTAATTCAAAATAGAGCAGCTAGACCGTTCTCTGGGACTGACTGATATGTACATATTATGCCAGTACTTTGCCATCTATACTAGCTGCTGGTCCATTTCCAGATCCAATTCAAAGAGCCTCAACAGGAGCAGGTTCTCTGATGGAGTGCTTTCTCTCATAAGTACTTACCCTGACTTCAAGATCATTTAATGAGACCCTCATCCAGGCTCCCTCGCCAAAGGAGATGAGGTGGGCTTCCATAGGAGAGAGACCTTTTTCTGTGGTGGCAGATGACTGAGAGGTGCGCGCGCACACACACACACACACACAGCAATTAAAAGAAGAGGCAGATTGTAAGTGCTCAGAAGATAAATAAAATAAAACAACCTATAGAGGCTCAACCACCACTCTGCCCCAAGGCCTGGAATAATAGCTATATTTTCAGTAGCTTTCTGAATGCCATCATAGTGGGAGCTGTATGAATCCTGGGGGTGGGGGGGAGAATGCTGTTCCAGGTGCTGTGACTGAGAAGGCATGCTTCCTAGGTCCTGATAGGTGACACTGTCTTATCAATGGGACCTGATTTCACCACCCAGGCAGAAACAGTCGATGTAGGTGGTTCCTCAAACTGAAATCAACTTTATTGAAATTTAAACCTGTTGTTCTTTATCTTGTCTTTTGGAACAACTCTAAATCGTTCTGCCCCATCTTCTAAACATCAGCCCTTCAAATACTCAAAGACAGGCATTGTGTCTCCCTCTGTCTTTTGCTGCAGGCTAAACATATTCAATGCCTCCAATCTTCCCTTAAAAGTTTTTCCTTCCATTCCCCTTGTCATCTTGGATGTTGTCCTTTGGACTCCCTCTGGTTTGTCTGTGTCCTTAAAATGCAGTGCGTAGAACTGGATGCAATAATGTATATCTGGTCAGACCTACATTATGCAGAACAGAGACAAAGAATTACATCACTTAATCTTGATGTAGTCCTTCTGTTGAGGCAGCCTAAAATTGCATTTTATTTTTATGTAGTCACATCACACTGTTGGCTCATATATAACTTTTGACCTACTAATACCCCTAGACTCTTTCTGCATGTACCGCTATTCTGTATGGTCCCTCCATCTTATGCCTTTGATTTTTCTAACCTGTTATTATCCTGTTACATTCCCTAAGCAATGGGACCTTTTTCTAACCTGTTATTATCCTATTACCTTTCCTAAGTAATGGGACCAACCCCATTTCCTTCCTTTTACTATTGTCACTGCCAAAGTTCTTTTTGTTGTTTTTTGTTTCCCTTTGTAAGCATAATTTCCTTTTGTGTTTTAAGCCTTCTGATGTGCTTTCCATAGAAAGTAAGAAAGTATACTTGTTGGTATACATCCTTGATTATACCCAACTGCCATTTTCTGTCATGTCCATGTCCTGTTTAACTCTTAGGTCCATGTCCTGCCCTTAACTCTACAACAATTTCCTAACCACCTCTCATCTTTTTCTGATTGGCATGGTGTGCAACTATATTTCCAGGATCTTATTTTTGTCAAGCTCCCAACCTTCTGTGCTCAATAGTATCTAGTACTTCTCTAAGCACTGAAATCATTTACTTGAAATTTTGTGTGCATGTATGACACACAAATGTGCTCCAGTGTCTCTTTCTGTAGTATCTTGATTATGTGGTTCCATCCTCATAAGGTTCCTATTGTTTCAACCAGCTGTTTCCAGTTAGGATCATATTTAGCAGTTATTGTCTCTTTTTCAGCCTTCTTGAGAATGAAACCCTTAGCAAGACCACTGAGAAATTTTTGGGACTTTGCAGTCTTGGCTGAATTGGTTTCTAACATATCTCCAAATAGTTGTAGTCTCCCATTATTACTATAGTATCTCATTATTATTGTAGTTCTCCTTCCTGAAAGGTTCAGGAGTGCAACATCTACCCTTACTGCGTGGCCTGGTGGTCTGTAGCACCTTTGTACAGTAACATCTTGTATTTTCTCATTTGTTGTAGTCTTACTAGGCCATTGTGCTAATATGGCTTGAATATATGTATCCACTTCTTTCATGTATAATGCCATCACTCCTCCACTTTCACTGCCTTATTCCTTTTGTATAAGTTACACCCTTCACAATCCTTGGTATCATGTGTACGTTTTGTTCTACAGGATTCAATAATGCCTACTAAATCATATTTGTCTTCTTGCACATTTCTGTAGAGACACATGAATCCTTAAGTCACATGACTTAAATTGACCTATGTCTTCCTGTATTTATTTGCTCATTATTGGTACACTCACATCCTCTAAATAACCCCTAATCCTTTTCTCAGCATTGATATCACACTCTTTTTGTGGACTGTCTTCTGTAAATGAATATGCCTTCAAAATATTTGTTCCCAGATCCTATGCTATGCAGCCCTTCTCTTCCCAGGAATCCTTCATCTGGGAAATGTGTTCCCTCAGTGAAGAATGCTTAATAAATAAATGAATACATTTCCTGTTATTTTAATGCAAAACAAATTATTAGAAGCATTTTAATTCTTTGTTTTACAAACTTCAGAAGATTTCAACTCACTTTATTTGAAACATGAGAACATCCTAGACCAGCAGATAAATGTTTATAGGCAGTGTACCTGTACACATAAAATATATAGAAAAATAATTTCTTTGTGTATGCACACAGAGTATAACATAGCAAAGTAAACATATAATATAACAAAGGTTACAAACATGAGATACAGCCTGCAGTATTCCTGATTAAAAGCTGAAATGGCATACAAACTGAAAAATTTCATTTAGGATTGGAAAAGTTCTCTGCTAGAAATTTTAGAGAATCTTTTTTGAAAGGAGGAACTACTACTGCCTGTGCTTTAGAAACTGTACTTCTGTTGTTGCAGCCTAAGGTTGCTTAATTATGTTATACTCCTTCCCAGAGCTTATTTGCCTTCTTCCTGCCTTTCTGACCCAAGCCTACTACCACCTGGAAGGAAAAAATTAATAATGCACTATTATTATTGGCGGTCACGCAATCAGCTAGATGTTTAGACTGGATTTAGCATTTTTATTCCTCCTATCAAGTCCTTCCAAAGGACCTGGGATGGGCAGATGTTGTTTGATGGTGTTAAAGGTATCATCGCAGGATATAAGCTGTGCCAAATAAAGCTGCCTTTTGCAACTGACTGATGGTGATTTTGTCAATGCCGGTGGTCTTCAAGTGGTGCTTAGGTGTTTTGGGATTGCACCTAAGACTCCTATTACTATTGGTAGTATATTTGATTTCTTTTGCCATAGTTCTATTTCTATTTGCAGGTCTTTATAGTTTGAGATTTTCTTCAGTTCTTTCTCTTCTATTCTGCTGTCTCCAGGTATTGCAGTGTCCACTATCCAGACTTTTTTGTCTTAACAGTTGTTAAATCTGGGGTGTTGTGCAGCAGGTACCTTTCTGCTTGAATTCTAGTCTCAGAACACTTTAGCTTCTTCATTTTCTATTACACTGTCTGTTTTGTGGTCCCACCAGTTCTTGCTTGGAGGCAAATGGTATTTCTTGAAGATATTCCAGTGTACCATCGTTGCTACTTTGTCATGTCATTGT